AGGAATGTTGAGGATGGGGTTTGATGACGATGATGACGCTGAGGGGGCGGGCGGGAGGATGAGGACTAGCGACACTGAGCGCGAAGGTGGTGAGGCAATGAAGCAGGGCAGGAGGAACATGGATGATGATACCGCATGACTAACAGCAATAATATGATGACGCGTGTGAGGCAAATGCATCTGATTTTGGTGACGATGATGACAAGCATGCTGGCAGAGACTCAACATGGAAAAATGTCGCGCTTGTGTAGACTTTACCAGCACATTGCATTTGCTAAACTTACGTTGGGCTTCCCAGGATAAGCGCGCCCTGGGGCCGTGCGCGAGACGCGTGCGAACTGGGCCGCCCAGTGGGTCGCTGTTTAAAATTGGTCCGAATCGTTTAAACTGTTACATGTGCCGAGGGCCCCCCGTCATGCATATTGATTTCATTTTAAGTTAACATCCTGCTGACAAGACATTAACGCGCGCGTAATCACAAGGTAACGGCGCGTCGAAACGCAAGGATCGGTGTCAGAAAATTCCGCCAAGCAAATCACGTTCGCGTCTGACGCCACTGCAAGCGCATAGTCGCGCCGTGATGCTGCGCGCACTCTCGCGTCGTATCACGGCGCGACTATGCGCTTGCAGCGGTGTCAGACGCGAACGTGATCTGTTTGCGAAATCTTCTGGCACCTCACCGTGCGCTTCGTCGCGTCGGTATGGTGTGACTACGCGCGCGCGACAATGTCTTGTGCGCAACATATGTAACTTAAAAAGAAATCAATTTGCATAACGAACCTCTCTCGGAACCTACAAAAGTTTAAACGGCGCGGAACAAGTTTAAACAACGACCCACTGGGCGGCCCAATTAGCACGCGCCTCGCGCACGGCCCCAGGGTGCGCTTATCCTAGGATTCCCAAAGACGCGGGCCTACCCAGCCCAGCCGTCGCCCCTGATGGGGGGCCCGCCGAAGCCCCCCACGGCGACGGCCGCGCGCGGCGCTCGCAGGCCCCTCATGCATTTGCCCAACCGAATGCCACAATGGCAGAGGCTGCGCGCCCTGCTTGCACACCCCATCGCACGCCGCGTGGCCCCGCGGGCGACGCTGCCGAGGCCGCGGCAGCAGCGGCCGCGCGCGGCGCTTGCGCCCCCCGGGCTTCGCAGGCCCCAGCGGCATCAGCCGCGCGAGGCGCTTGCGCGCCCCTCGCGCGGTCGATGGCCCGCATAAGTGAACCTGTCAAAGGTTCCAGCGTCAGCGGCCGCGCGCGCGTGGACACCGCTCGCGCGCGTCGCGGCCCCATGGGGGCCTTCGCCGAAGGCCCCAGTGGCGGCGGCCGCGCGCGGCACCTGCAGAACCCTCGCGCAGCTAACGGCTCGCTGGGGGGCCCCGCCGAAGGCCCTAGCGGCAGCGGCTGGACGCGGCATATCCGCGCAACTGTCGCGCGCGTCGCGGCCCCGCAAGAAGCCCAGCTGAAAGCTCCGACCCCACTGGCACCGCTGGCGCGGCGGCCCTGGCCCAAGTCGGCGCGCTCCTGTCGCGCGCCCCCTGGCCCCGAAAAAGATTCCACCAGAAACTGCGATCAGAACTACAGATGGGCGGACCCTGTCTGCCAATTTCGTTGAACGCGCGCGGGCGACGCCTGACCCCGCGCCGCGCCTATGCACGGCGCGCCCCCGCGACGTGCGACCCCAGCGCCGAACCGTGGAAGCCGATCCCGCGCGCCGCTGCAGGACGCATGATCGCCTTGAGCTGCCATGGGAATCGGCTTTCCCAGAAAGGGCACTCGCTGCGCGCCGCAAACACCGCTTGCGCTGAAACGCCGACATAGTATATATTAACGTCATGTAACTTGCACATGTGGAATATGTGGTCGTTTCCCGATCCCCGCATCATGTGAAATTATTCAGCATGCCAGCACTTCTCCACATATTACCTTCGTTCTAAGCCTTGGCCACAGTGGCCGCGGCACCAGCCCGCAGCGCCCTTCCACCAGAAGTCCAAGAGCTGGCGACAACTGCTCGCCTACTTCCACTCACCAAGAACCCCACCACAATCCGCCCCATCAACCTCGACAGCCCGCTCCGTCGTCCGGCGTCCAAGGCGGTCGACGAAGTGGCGGCGGACGAGGTCGCCGAGGGGCTGCGCTGCAGGCAGTTCGGGTGCAAGCACGCGGCTGGGGCGGAACTTGTCCACGACCACGTATCCAGTGCGATTCGCGTCCACGCGGACTACGGCGTGCCCCCCCCTGGACGCTGCTGACGCCACTCGCAACCTGAGCAGCCCAAAACTCCGGAGCTGGGTGGGGGACTTCCCGCCGGATGCCGGGCAGGTAGTCCGCCGCGACAACAGGGGCAGAAGACGCACCTGGAAGCCGGAAGAAAACTACGGGCATCTTCCAGCGACGCGGCATGGCCACCACGCTTTTCTGCCTCGGACTCGACAGGGCCCTCGAGCTGGCCACGCACCAACTCGCCGCAGCAAGTATACAGCACGAGCTTTTCGGCTACATCGACGACCTCGCCGCTCTTTCAAAGCCCGAAAACCTGCCCGCTATCTACGCATCTACACCAGCGCACTGCACCAAGCCGGCCTCCAGACACGCGCCGAAAAGTGCGAGGCTTGGGCGAAGAATCTTGCCGCGATACCGGCATGCCTACCCTTGCCGCGAGCAGAGCAGCCCACGATCCTACTATAGTCGACGACTCCAGCCTGTCACCGACGCCGGTAACCGCCGACCAGCATGCCGAGGCGGGCAGATTACACTCGCCCGACTCGCCACGACTACTGCACCAACGAACCCCAAGGACGAATGTAATTGCCAAACTCGTGAATTTTCACAACGCCGGCCTGCAGGCACGTTCAGACATCTCTGGCACTGCTACGAACACTCACTGCAGGCGACATGACGTGGCACATGAGGACCGCTGGGGCTCCAGCCCACACAGCGACACAACTCGACACCGACCTCATCAGCGCCCTGGAGCAGCTCGTGCAAACGCACGACCTCACAGCGGAGCAGGAAGAGAAATACTGGCACCCCGTAGCTTGGGGCTGCTTGGACATCCAGAGCGTGAACGCAGCGCGACTGGATGCTCAAACGACCTCGTAAGCACTCTGCGAAAAAGGCCGGTTCTCCAACAACTGGGGCTCCGCGACAGAGATGACCTACTCCAGTGTTGCCTCGACTTGCGACCAGCAGTGCGCCACCTTCAGCAAACGGGCAACGCACTGACGCAAGAAGAGGCTGCGCAGCAGGCGCCCGACACGGAGTCACCCGATACCGCCCAACGGCGCTGTACCAGGCATACAATGGGGGCCCGACCACGTGAAACCTTCCGCAAGAATACCATGCCCGAGACCCCAGGACGCAGGGCTGAACCTAAACAGTGTTTTTCGTTTTCGTTTTGCTTTCGTTTTCCCTCGTTTTGTCTTCAGTCCACCTCTACAGCAAAAACATAGTCGAAACGAAAACGGCCCCCGATATCGCCAAAACACAGTTTAGGTCCAGCCCTGCCAGGAGGTCCATGGTCTCTTGGCGCAGGGATGTCGCGCTCTCCATCGCAAAACCATCGAACCCACGAAACCCAGGGCACCCTGGCGGCAAGCAGGGTGTTCCTCGGCTTGGGCCCCCACTGCAGGCGGCGCGCCGAGTGGACACCGCGGCCGCGACGCACCCAGACGGAGCAACACCAACGGGCCTGGGCCCTTGCCGCGACAGATAAGGGGGGCAGGCGAATGGCTCGGGCCGCCCACTCAGTCAAGGGGCCCAGGGGCACGCAAACACATAGACACAAAGACCAGGATCCCCCTATATTGTCACATAACTTCTGTGTTTTCGTCTCCCCCCCATCTGTTCCAATATGTTCCTATATTTTCCTGGGGGTCGACGATTGATTGTGTCTGGTTGTTTTTCCACTCCTGATTCAGGGTGGCCGCGAGACACAGACTCGGAGGTCTGGTCCGCGCAGCCGACGGCCCCTGTCCCTTCCGAAAGGAGGACGGGACCCACTGCAGTGCCTCCGCCGACACTTACGGACGCCACGCGGTTTGCCGCCCATATGGCGGCTTCATGGCTAAGCGCTATAACAACCTGTGCGACACCATCGCGCGAACCCTACGTGAAGCTGGCATTTGCGACGTCGGAATCGAACCTTTGGTCCGCCCACCCAACGGGCCAAGCAATCCGGGTCTCCGCGCGGACCTCCGGTGGACCGACAGTCTGACCTAGCGGTCGCGCATCTTGCCTCACAGCAAAGCCTGCAGGCCGCAGGGGCTACGCCCAAGGCACCGCCGCCAGACCTGCCGAGAACCCCAAGCGACACAAATACGAAGGCGTCGCAGGCTTCCAGCCCCTCGGGTTTGAAGTCTCGGGAGGCATGGGCGAGTTCACGCGAAAGTGGCTTGCGCAGCAAATGCTGGAGCAACACTCCCCACGGGTCCATCGTCACCTGCGTGATCCAGGAAATGGCGCGCACGCCGACTAGCGCTGCCCAAGGTGGTCGCGAGGCCCAGCCAGCGCGCCTAACACAGGGGTCTGGTGGCTCACACCTCAAGGCCTGCGCTGGGTCCCCGCTTCCACCGACGTCTTTTCGACGCCTGCAGCGCAGGGCACGCGGCACCACCCTCTGCGACCACGACATCTACTACCACCATCAGTATCACGCCTCGACAACGGCTGGGGCCACGATTCGGACTGCATTCTTCTTCCTCCTCCTCCTCCCCACTGCCCCCCTCTCTCCCTCCCTCTGCCCCCTTCGGCGGGCGCGGCGCCGCGCAAGGCGCAGCGGCGGGGGCGCGGCGCGGGCGCGGCGCTGGGCGCGGGCGCGGTCGCCGCGCGGCGCGCAAAGGCGGGCCTCCCATCGGACTCGGGAGGTTCCGCCGCCGCGAAGAGGAGGAGGAGGAGGACGAGGAAGAGGAAGAGGAGGAGGAGGAGGAGGAGGCGGAGGAGGAGGAGGAGGAGGACTCCCCCTCCTCGACTCCCCCTCGTCGCTCCACTCGTCTGCTCGCCGCGTGCTCCCCGCACGCGCAACACAGGCAGGGGCGGCGGAGCGAGCGGGAAGTTCTCGGCGGACGGCACGATGTACAGGTCCGCCGGGATCATGCGGAACTTTCGGTTCATGTGCAGCGGCCTGGGCTGAAAGACGAAACCAGGACAAAGACACATTCGGGTGAGGATACACCGAGAATCTCTGAGATCCCGCGGTTCTGGGAGATGTCTCGGGCGCCGCGGCCTTCCCAGAACCTTCGAGAATGCTCTGAGAGCGTTCCGGAACACTCTGGAACAGATCGGTCCTCGTCCCGGCCCCGCCGTCCGAGGGCGAGAGCCAGATGAGGCCGGACAGGGGGCAAGGGGGGTAGATTGATGTGGGGCGGAGGGTGAGGAGGGGGGGCCAGCATCGTCGTGAGTTCGTCTGCGTCATCATCGGGTCGGGCCACTCGTGGACGGCCGTGAGCGAGGTCGGTGAGGAGGGGGAGGAGGAGGAGGAGGAGGAGGAGGAGGAGGAGGAGGAGGAGGAGGAGAGGAGGAGGAGAAGGAAGAGGAGGAGGAGGTGGAGGAGGTGGGGGAGGGAGAGGAGGAGGAGGAGGAGGAGAGGAGGAGGAGGAGGAGGGAGGAGGGAGGAGGAGGAGGGAGGGGGAGGAGGAGGAGGAGGGAGAAGGAGAGATGGGGGTGAGGAGGAGGAGGAGGAGGAGGAGGAGGAGGAGGAGGAGGAGGAGGAGGAGGAGGAAGAGCAGCAGCAGGAGGAGGGGAGGAGGAGGGAGGAGGGGGAGGAGGGGAGGAGGAGAGGAGGAGGGAGGAGGAGGAGGAGGAAGAGGAGGAGAGGGGGTGAGGAGAAGGGAGGAGGAGAGGGGGGCGAGGCCCCTCCCACTGCTCCCTCTTTGTCCCTCCCGCTGGCCTGCACCTCCCGCCTCCCACCTCCCCTTCGGAAACCCCTCCCCCCTCTCCCTCCCTTTTCCCTCTCGTCCAGGCGGATGGAGGCGGGGCGTGGGGAAGGAGGGATGAGAGGCGAAAGATAGAGAGAGAGAGAGAGAACTGACAAGGGAAGGGAGGGAGAAGGACGTGGGGGAGACGGGAAACGGGAAGAGACAAAGAAGGGGCGGTCAAATCCGCCGATCCGGCGTGTGAGTTTGAAAGGGCCTTACATGTAGCCTCAACTTCAGTTCCTGAGCTTCTGCTCTGCTGGGGGGTGGGTGCCGGGGTGGCTCTGCCGGGGTAGGGGGGTGTGGGGGGGGGGGACGAGCTGTGCTCCGTTTTCTGGGGGGGGTCGTGTCGAGGGAAACACAGCAGAGTGCCAAACCGGATGCCAGAGAGCCTAAGACTGCTGCAATCTATGTCGAAGACGGCACACGATGTACCCAATACATCCCAAGATGGCGTCATGACGGCCAAAGAGGCCTTCAAGAGGCCTCTAAGACGGCCGAAGACGTCTCCAAGAGTTCACAAGAGGCCCGGAGAACGCCCAAAAGGCCCCCCAAGAGGCCCCAAGAACACTCCAACAGCACCCCCAAGAGGGGCTCATGAGGCCAAAATCGTATGTTTTCCAATAGTTGTTGACGGATTTTGACGTGCTCGCCTTTTCGGGTTGCCGACGCTCCAAAACGGCCCAAGACGTCCCCAAGATCGCACCAAGACGGCCAAAGAGGCCCCCAAGAACGCCCCAAAACTGCCCAAGGAGCCCCACAGCTATTCAAGAGGACCCCAGGACGGCCCAAGAGGGCTCCAGAACTACCTCGGAGGCATCAAAGGCGCTCCGAGAGGGCCCCAAGACGGCCCCAACAGAAGCCCCAGAGAGGGAACGACCCAACACTTCGAGTCTTCCGGCGCAAGAGGCCCCCAAGAAAGCCCACGAGGCCTCTCAGAGGCCCCCCAGGAGGCCTCAGGGGGACCCTAATAGGCTCCAAGATGCCCAACAGGCCCCGCAATTGTCCCGAAAAGGCTCCCGTCGTCAAAGTGTACATCAGGAACAACTGAACGCAAGTTAGAACCTGGAGGAGCTTTAGGAAAAGGAGGAAAACAACAAGCAAGAAGAACGGCAACACGAAGTAAGGATTGTGTAAATGTTCTTCGTAAAATCATGCTATTAGCGATCCCTCCGCAGCGTATCAAGGACGAGGAGGCCCATTCGCACTACGGCGACCATGAGCTCGCTGCGCCGCTTACATGATGGGTGCGCCTGGAAAGTGATCCATCCTGACGCAGTAGTGACTCTGGGTTGGTGTCCCCACCAGGACGGCGTAATGGTGTATATCGCATTGAGCTGCTTCCGGAATTCGCCGAAAGTCTCGCACTGGCACTCGGAGACGAGGTGGCGCAAGCTGGGCCACACCTCCTCGCCGCAATAAGGACACCGTTGCTCTGTGCACCGGCGCCCTCGGGTTGGTGATGAGGTTGCTCCGCACATAAAGATGTGTACTTTTGAGTAGCGCTCCGATGGTAGGGAATCCCTGAAGGTCTGCCAGGGCTTCTCGGACAGGGCCGACACGTCGACCTCCTCGATGCCTTCGGCGTCGTTCCGCGTGTGTCTGGCGGAGGAGAGGGCACGCACTCGGCAGATCTGCCGAAGAAGGTGCGCCACCTTGTCCCTTTCGTCGCTCCAGTAGGTCTTACGCCGGCCAAACAGCCGGACAACTCGGTGGTCGTGCTCGTGTTCGCGAATACCGAACCGGACGCCGCGGTCCTTGTTGAAAGCGCGGAACTCCAAGCCCACGGCATCAAAGTACTGCTCGAAATTGTGTTTCAGGAAAGAGCTCCACTCCAGGTCCCACGTCGTGATCCTGTCGATCGCCGTGAGAAGCGTGGTAAATACTGGATGCAGGTTAAAGTTCAGGGCCCAGAAACGCCCCCTGCACCACCACGTACATTTCGTCCGCAAGACGGCTCTCATCACCTCGCCCGTGGCCTGGTCTGGCGCCAGTGAGAAAACAGGGCAGCACCGCAGCCACAATGGCTTCGCATAACCTCCCACAGCGCGGGATCTGGTCGCGGCTGATCCCGGTAGGCTCCGTATGGCTTCGAGGAGTTTGTGGAGCTTGGACCAGCCCGCAGCCGGTGTGATGTCCACTTCTGGATCATCAGGCACCGCCAAAATGCCCACGTGCTCGACGGCTTTGCCTTGGCCGCGCGCCCAGCGCTGCCGCTTGGACTCGTTCTCAATGGCACCAGTGCCCGTGTCGAACTCGTTCGTGCTCTGGATGTCGGAATCGAGCTGCGCCTCTGAAGAGCAGACCAGCGACCGGTCATCCATAAAGAGGAATTTGGTGCCGTGCGTAGACCACGGCGAGAGAACTTCGCATAAGACCTTGGGCGCGCAGCTGTCGCCCTGAGCGAGGCTGCGTGTCGGCCAAATCTCCTCGTCTGCGAGCTCCCCTGCGACTTGGCATATACGGGGCCCCGTCCACGCAGCGTGGGCCACGGCGGTGACCAGCTGGGGCGTGCCAGACTTGTGCAGCGCAGCGAGCCCCACCTCGTGGGGAACGTTGTCGTAGCATTTGGATAAGTCTCGCTCTGTGCCACATTCGCCCTCTTCACAGGATCTGAGCCAAAGGCAGCACGCGTGGACAACGGATGTCCCAGACTTGCACGCGTATTGCGCGTCTTGTGGAGCAGGTAAGCTTGGTTCGCAGGCCGTCAGCCAGGACCGGAGCAGGCACGACCCCACACCGATGGGGCGGCTCTGCGTCGGATCCTGTTTCCGCACGCCGACGACGCGCCAGCAGAACAGCAACCGCTGAAGTTCTTGTAGGGCGTCCTGGCGCCCGAACTTGATGCCCTCCTCCGAAGCCAGGCCGGCCTCCTCGAGGAAGAAGCAGGTGTCGCCCCAGAGGTCATATAGCTCCCGCACAAGGAACTCGAGCTGAGAGGCCATAAGCTTGAGTTCTGAGGAATGCCACCCGTCGTAGCCGGCACTCCCCTTCCCCTTCTTCACGGCCTGCACGAAATCAGCATACGTAGGAATCCAATCCGCTGGACACGTAGACATAGGAAGCGGCTCGCGCATCTGGGACGCATACCATTTCCATTGCTCTGCGCACTGCTTGCCGTTGAAAGTGCTGGGTGGGCACCAGATCTGCTTCCACTCCATAGCCATGTCGTTTGCTGTGAAACTTGGGCACTCCCCGCCTGGCTTGAGGGCCCCAGAGGCCGCCCGCCAAGTTTCAGGAGTGAAGCTCTTGAACATCTGCTTCCAGTCGCTCGAGACCTGCTTCTGGAGCCGGCCCTGCTCGCGAGTGATTGCTTTCGACACTAAGTCGTGTGCTCTGCCGTAGGAAGGGACGCCCGAGCCGTCGACATCGATGTAGCCTCGGAGGCACTCGCGCACAAAATGATCCAGGAGGCCTCCCTCAAGGGAGCGCTGGGGACCATCACGTAGCCCATGGGCGATGCGCCGGCCGAGCCGCTTCAGCCTCGCCAGGGCGATCGGCTCGCTAGGGCGCCGTGCCGGCTGGGAGGCAACAGGTCTCGAAGAGGGAGTGGATCCCTTCGGCCGCTCGGCCACCCCAGTCTGCTCCAGGAAGCCTTGGTTGACTCCAACCTGCATTGCAAGCTCGGCTCGCGCGTGCCACTGCTGCCAGCGCTCCAGGAGAGGGTCGGCGCGGGGAAGGACAAGTAGACGCTGCCGCACTTCAGCTTCGAGGGCTTGGATGTCCTCCGGGAGGACAACGGCGTCAGGGTCACCGACGTACAGCGCCGTGCGGTGGAGCCTCGTGGTGCGCCTGGGGGCGTGAAGCACGCCAACTTGGTAGGTGACCAGGGCGTGGTAGGGGATGCCCGCCACGAACTCGGACGACAGGTGCATCAGAGCAGCGCCTTTGGCCAGGGCGCGCGTGGGAGCTGTATTCATAACTGTGGTGCTTTGGGCCTCGCACAAGTCGATGCCGTCGTAGACGCACTGCTTGTAGCATGGCCGCCAGTTGAGGTCGCCAGCAACCACCCACAGAGATGAGCCCGATGAATGTTGCTCCGCAAACTGAATTACATCCTCCATCCAGGGCGCCGATGCACAGCTGGCGGGCCCATAGGCACTAACAAAGGTGCCGCACGCCAAGCGGATCGCCACGTAGCGGTGGGGGCCCCGTCGGATTGCAGCCTGTCCCAAAGAGGGTCTCCAAAAAATGGCCGTCCCACCCTGCA